TAAGTTGAAGGCTTCGGGTCCAAAACCCCCGCAGACGGTAGTCTCCAGTCAGAATGGGATCCCATCGTTTGGTTCGGCACTAGACAAAGATCTGAATCCACTCTTCTAGCAGCACAGTCACGGGTTTAGGGTTGAGGGGCTGGCAGTCCCCATGCCCAGAGGCTCCTTCTATACCAAAATTATGGAAACAGGTCCCGAAATACCATCCTTATTATGGCTTTAGACACCCAATTGAATAATGGTAGTATATATGGAACCTCTGGGATGGTCGCCATTTAAGACTCAGACATAGGCTACGAGTCGGCAGCCCTCACCGCAAGGAATGAACACGCACCACTCGCGAACACAATCGATAGCGCCGCCTGAAAGGGTTTCGGATTCTGCCCTTGGCCCATTGTCACATATGGTTACTGCTGACATTCGAAGCGCGGAAAACTCATGGGGGTTCATGGGTGTCTAAACACTAAACCAGAAACCCTATGCCCTAAACCCTGAACCCCAAGCAGGTTCCTTCTCGGAACCCTTACAGGACCCGTCTCTTAGGAAACCATCAGGGAAACCTCAGAGGAATCCCTAAACCCCGAAGGCTTGGCTGAGGCCATGGCCCGGGGAGCTTGAGAGGCAGAGAGAGGTCGTAGAGATACCTGATTTTGCCGGGATATCGAACACCAGGGATACCTTCAATTTAGTTTGTTTTGAGTTGCTTTGTGGGCTCCTTGTCTTACTGCTGTTACGAGTGGGAGGCTTAGGGTTTAGGGTCTTCCAACAGATTACCATAGGGATAGTGTTCTGAGGGTACTCTGAGGGCATTATCGAGGTTTACAGCACGCACTCGCATGCCAGTCGGTCAGGAGGCGAATGGTCGACATTCTTTTCGCAGGTCGAGGTCTCCCGCTACATGGAAAGCTTGCTCTCAAGGTCAGGCATTAGGGTTCAGGGTTTAGGTAAGGGTGTCAGATAAGGGTGGGTGGGGTTGTGAGGCTGAAAGCATCTAAATGTCAATGAAAAGCCACCTTTTCCTAAAATCGGCCTCTCTTTCTCTTTCTTTCGCCAGGGCTATGGTGTAGGGGCATGACCCCCTACACCACGCGCTAGTGCGCCCCCGACGGTTGCGGGTGGCAATGAGTTACACTCGATCGAAGGCAAACTGCGATCAACCATTTTGTTTTTGTTCTCTCTCTCTCTCTCTCTCTCTCGCTCGCTTTCCCTGGGTAGCAGCAGCGAAGAATCAACGAAGTGTGTCCCCTCTATCGTCATGAGACACGTAATCCAGAATTTGTGTTTGTGTTGTCTGTACCGGTGAGCATGTCGCACGTGTGTATCTGTGTAGTGCGAGGCATCCAACCTGATAGGTGAAGAGGCGACGAGAATACATCTGCATAAGTTGGCATAGATGCGAACATGATAACCAAACCAAGTATGTCTAACAAACTCAACCAGCAAATGTGCTGGTGTGTACGCCGCGAGGGCTTCCTGATGATCACCGAAGTACCTTCTCATGATGTCCCTCATCCGAAAATTGACATCGAAAAACCATAAACCCTACACCCTAGGTAATACAGTGGCCATAGAGTTTTGGGGATATTATACCATAATTATAACCAGGAACTCCCAGAAACCAACAAAGAAGGTCGAGGAAAGATAGCATCCAAGATCCCAAGAGAGCTCTGAGAACCTAGCAAAGCCATACACCCTACACCCTAACAAAGAAGGTCAAGGAAAGATAGTATCCAAGATCCCAAGAGAGCTCTGAGAACCGTCCCTCATTCGAAAATTGACATCGGAAAACCAAAAAAACCTATACCCTAACAAAGAAGGTCAAAGACAGATAGTATCCAAGATCCCAAGAGAGCTCTGAGAACCTGGCAAGCCCTTCCTGCGAGGCCCCTGAAGCTCTGCAAGTGCCTGGCCAAAGGCAGTCATTGCTTTGCTGGATGTGTCGGTCAAGCTTGGGTTCTGAATTGCCAGTCATGCTCTCAGAAATGAGTGCGCAGACTGCAAGCCACGGTGCAGTGAAAGACTTGTAGTCAAGATCTGCAAGACAAGTAGCAAGTATATGAACCTTTACTGCTACATATTTGTAAGGCATACATATATATATATATATATGTTTATTTATTTATTTATTTATTAATTCCTGTATATTTATTGATGTATTTTATGTGTATGTATGTATGTATGTACATATATATATATATATATAGAGACATATGCCCATGTATACATTGAGGATGGAAGCGGTGACAATCATCTCCAGTTTTTAAGTGGTGCAGCCATGTGATCTTGACTCCTTTCCTTTATGATTCTAAACCCTCAGCCCTGAACCCTAAACCCTAAACCCAAAGCCCTAAACCCTAAACCCTCAACCGTAAATCCCAAACCCAAAGCCCTAAACCCTAAACCCTAAACCCTAAACCCTAAGCCCCCTTTTTTACCCACTCCCTGATCCAAAGATTGAAACCCCTAGATTTGATACGGGGGCCTCAAGAGGCAGAATGGG